ATTTAGATGCTACCTTTTAGTTAAAATTGTACATTTTTTTATTCTCTAATATCCAGAACGCATTTTGTCATGGTAAATGAATCTGGATAAGCAACCAATATTCACGCTTTATCAATTAAAAATATATTGTAAAATTTCAAATCGGTCAAAATTAATTTAACCGGTTAAATACCGTTAAGTTTAAATCCGGAATTATAATTTTTTATAATTTATAAAATCAAGGAGGGTCTTACAACGATTTTACGGTCACGGCCGAGCTTGTAACTTTTAACATGCCAGGAACAATAATTGTCAATCATCTTCCGAAAAATCTCAGCCTTAATTTAAAACTTCCAAAAAGGTATGTTACAAAAGACATTAAAAGATGACCGATCCTATTATTTATGATCTTACAAAAGTCATTTTTTGAATAGAATTGATGAACAATCAAAGGTCAAGGTAGAAGTACTTTTCGGTGTAACAAAAATTACTCTCAAAGTTTTTAACACCTTTCCAACTCGTATATTAACGGTTGAATGATAGAAGATATTATATATGTTAAGATAATTGTATCATGTTTTTTTTTTTAATAATTGTAGTAATATATCAAAAAAAAAAAAAAAAAAAAAAAAAAATTATTTGGAAATAGTGGGATTGTTCTTGCAGTCTATTATTCTTTTTCGTGCATTATAGTGAAAAAAAAATTTAATAAATGTTTTTAACTCATGCATGCCAATCCATGTGTAATGAATGGTAAACGTTCATTGCGAAACGATTGATAATAATATATTTGTTGAAATCATTAAAAGTGTAAAACATAAATTATGTGCACTGTTCCGGGATGAAACACTTTTTTGCATCTTCCAGGTATCACAGAAACAAATTTGCGTAAGAAAAGCCCGCCTATTCACTTCGTTCATAATCAGTTAAAGCTAACTGATCTAAGATGAGTTAAGAAAAACATTATTCAGACCTGATATCTTTTCATCCCGAAAAAATTTATCTAATTATCTATCACGTGATTTCGTGAAGATTATTAACTTATGTCAACAAATATTAGATCGATTAAAAAAAATTTTTTCCCGCCTTAAATTCACTAGGAAAGAAAGATGTCTTCGGATCCATTTTTTGTTACTCAAAAGTCCAAAAAACGCAAGCCTGTGACGGATATATCTTCAAATGAAAAAAAAATTAAGGCACAAACTGGAGGAAATATCCCTCAAGCAAAAGGAAAAATAATACCAGCTTCGTCATTAAATAATACAAATGGTAGTAAGAACCAAAATAAAAAGAAGCTAGTTGACAAGAAAATAGATCAGGAAGAAGAAAAATTAAGTAGTGAAGATGACATTGGACCTGGTGGTATTGATGACATGGACTTTGATAAGGATAGTGACAAGGAAGAAGTAAGTGACGGAAATGAATTCGATAATAGGGAAACTCCAGCAGAGAAAAGGAGACGACTTGCTAAGCAGTATATAGAATCTGTCAAGGAAGGATTAGGTAAACTACGATATGAATTAACATTTTTCCTTTATTAAAATGTGTGTTTATTTTCGTATTTATTTTAATGAAATTTGTCGTAATAGATGATGTAGGATTTGATGCTGCAGAAATTGATCGAGATTTAATTGCAGAGCGTCTCAAAAAGGATGCGGTAACTTATTATTTTGGAGAAATATTGTCCTTTAAGCCCATTGAGATTATTTATGTTAAGGATCATTTATACAAACCAGTTAGAACAAACAGGTCGCGCTCATCGTATAATAGCAGATACGGTAAATATTTTCATATGTTTTTGTTATTAAACGTGAAAATGTGATGCTTATTTAATCTTTATTTCTTTTCTCTAGTTTGCTTTTCCTATTGAGGATCCTAGTATAAAATCTGGACGTCATGAACTTACAGTTACATGCGTTGCTATAGCAGAAAATGGCCAAATCTTTTATACGGGATCAAAAGACGCTTCTATAATAAAATGTAATTTAGAAATTAACATAAATTATTATTATTCAAATAATTTCCCATATACTTAAAAGAAATTTTTTTTTTTTCCTATTTATCGCTTCCTTTAGGGAACTTGTTAACCGGAAAAAAATTGCACACATTTCCAGGAGGCCGAAAGGAAGTAAAGAATTTTGATGGCCATAATCATCATGTTTTATCATTGGCTATGAGTTCAGATGGTAAATATCTAGCAAGCGGTGGTGCGGACAAAAAAATTAACATATGGTCTGTTAAAGAGGACAAGTTATTAAAGTGTTTTACACAGCATAAGGATTCAATATCTGTATGAAATATTATTATATTTTGTCACTTAGTTTAATTCTCTAATTGTGATGGTACAGTTTATTTAATATCTTATTTCGCTAGGGTCTTGCTTTTCGTAAAGGCACTAATCAACTTTATAGTGCTTCGTTTGATCGATCAATTAAATTATGGGACATAGATGAATTATGTTACATCGATACCCTGTAAGCATTCCTCACGTTTATTACCTTTTGATTTTGTTATTGTTATTTAACTTATTTCTTCAAAATCGAAGATATGGTCACCAGGATCAAATTATGGCAATAGATACACTTTCACGCGAAAGATGTGTTTCGGTTGGTGCCCGAGATAAAACATGCAGGATGTTTAAAGTTGTTGAAGAATCTCAGCTAATCT